TCTTTTTCTGTTAGGCGTTGATTGACAGATGAACAGAATATTACTGCATATACTTCTAAATTCCATGAATATACACTACTGAACCTATTGGTTCACCTAAGAACCCCTTCCTGATGTTTTTGCTATCAGAAAACTCTCCAATGAACCATCCTAGTGACTTAGGACTATGGCCCATGCCCTCAGCAAACATTTAAACATGAACTCACGCAATCTCAAATCCCTCAACAGGACAAGTGGGTTCCTTCACTTGATTTCTATCAGAGACATAGCACAGGATACATTTGACTCAGAAGGTGGTCTTTGGTAGGGGCCAGCATTATATGTTCAAGAAAAATTCTAAGAATTTAGGGCAAATATAAAGAACAACCACCTAGGAGTATAACAACAACTTATGGCAACTTAAAATCTTGAGCCTTCACAAGTCAGAGGTTGCAGTTGGACTGTGATTAAAAGCCCCCAACAGACCAACTTCTCATGAAGTTCTCCAAGCATTTTCATATTTTCTCATTTTCTCATCATTCTGTGGCATTCTGAGTTCCATGATGTATATAACAGTGAGTAACTGGTAACTGTTCCCTGTTCCATTTCTCCAGGACACTCAAAATGGTACAGAGAGCTACCACAACAAGTCCTCAGCCATCCATTTTCCAGGAGGAAAATAATGTCTTCCTCCTATTTAGTGCCTCTTCTCATCTAAGCCATTACATGTCTCTACTTGTCTGGTTGCCTGCTATTTGCCTTTTCCAATTCTACTATTATCTTTCTGAACTTCCCTTTCTGAACATCACTGATGTAATGAGATTTTCTGTTTTGTTCTTCACAGACCTCCTGATGATTCCTAACACTCCATTTGCCTTCTTGACAGTCACAGAGCCAGAGTGCTGTCTACAGCAAATCCTCAGGTCTTTTGTTTTGGTGGCACAGCCAGCTGGGAGTCCAGCATTGTATTACATTGAGTTAGGACTGATCCCCACCCTCCATCATTCTTTCGCACCTATCAGCACAAAGTCATCTAAACATTTTATCAGTCACTTTCTCCGCTGTGAGACATTTATGCGATTCCTAGGAATCATTCCCAGTTATCCATTTTAGACAGATAATTCTGTATTAGCAGAAATGTTGTTACTTGACTATTCCCTCCTTTCCCAGATCAGGTAACCCTGTAAAACTCCATCAGTAACCTTCTTCAATGTGGAGCTTTTTCCTTCTGTCTTTTAATGAGTCTGTGAGAAGAGTCTCTTTAAGACGTCTCAGGGAGGACTCGTTAGCAGCATTTTGAAAAGCCAAGTATGTTGTATTAACCAGCATTTTCACTGACTCCTTCAAAGAACTTTCTAATAGATTTGTGAGGCATTGCTTCCCCTTGTAAAATGAAAATAAACTTCTTCATCTCTTCCTTATTCTATCACGCATTTCCATTTACCCACTAATCTATTCTTTACTAGAATTTCTGCCAAAGAACTTCTTTCTGCTTCAAGAACTTTTTAAATAATTGATGTCATATGTGCCAAATTTCATTCCTCTCTAGTTAGTAACTTCGCAATATTTTACTTGTGTTATTTTAAAGTCTTGAGTGAGTACCATATGGTCACAATGTTTACCATTTCTCTTATTAATGTGTTCTAATGTCTTTTATTGAAACTGTGGTTCACCAGTAAAGCAAATCCAGTGCTAGGGATACTAAAACCAGACCAAAAACATTACAGCTACATGAATGCCCCTTCAAATGCGTTCAGAGAATTTTGTCTGGTTGGTTTTACACTGGCAGTCTCTGTGTTGTGTGACATCACTTGTCTTTTAACACCCTGTGTAAAACCAGCACAAAGTCCAAGTTATGCACTCTTACTAAATCAACAGAAATGCATTCCCTTGCCCGCATGGAACCAGACAAAACTTGTACTGATGAATGATCTGCTAGTGTGCATTGATGATGACGGAACATCAGCCTCACACTTCATTTGGAGATTAATTTCCTTATAAGATATGCCTAAAAAGCTCAAACCTCCATGTTACATGGGTTCAAAAGTCATTACATAAATTCATGGGAGAATGCTCATCAGGACTCACTGCAGATCACTGGAATCTGCTACCATATAATGTTGAATTGTCTGTGTATGCTAGCCCTGGTTTATTCTTCTTTAGGCATGGGCTAACGATCGCAGTTGGATCCAGATGAAGCAAGAGAGGCTTAATTTGATCTATTACCACCATTCCCATGAGGTCGTTAAGTTTTACTTGTCCCAGAAAAACAGTTTTTATTCCAAAAAGCTATTCCAGTCTCACTATTCCAAAACCCATTCATATCTCATCTCACAGTTAATTCCCCATCTCCCTCCCCATCAGAATACATAAGAACTTCCTGTGGACATCAGACTATGTTCTCTGTTACCTTAGAGTTCTCTCCAAGAAGCAAAGATTAGTGGGAAAGGAGAGATCAAAGATACCAAGAACGGGTGTAAGGAGTTAATTTGCAAAGGCCAGGACAAGTGAGGTAGTGAGGAGCTCTGTGAACTTGTCAAAATCCCCTGCTTTCTAGTCCTCCATGCCTTGGACAGCCATGGGAAGGAACACATTCCGAGACAAAATTCTTCTGGACCCCCAAAATATATATATACATTTTCTATGTATCTACATACAGAATCAAGGCAACATCCACATCAATACAGATAAGCAAAACACCTGAAAGTGGAATTCAAGACTGAGAGGTTATTGATTAGTAAACACCAGCTCCTGATGTATCTGATAGGGGAGAAAAACCTAACTTGAAGTATCTCAGTTTGGGATGAGGTTTCTCTTGGTGTTTTGCTTTTTAAAGAAACCTGTCATATTTCAAATTTGTCTTTGAAAATCTTTTATCATTTTCGCTTTACACAGAAGAAACCACCTCACAGTAGAATCCCAAATCATCATGCCTACTGAATATACAGACTGTTGGAATGAACTGTACGTACCACAATAGAGCACATACCTACGAATTTCTTCACAGACTACAAGAGCCTAATACCAAGCCTCAAATATTTGAAAGTTAGAAATCCAGACCTAAGGTTGTCCTGAGCCACTGTAGCACTGACCCTGCCTCAGCATCATAGGAGGGAAAGCTATCACCTCCCACACACACATTGCATCCATCTCAAAAGAGTTCATTCCCACATGATAAGAAAAGGTGAAAAAGCCTGACACTGGTTTCATCTGTATTTCCTGGAATTCCACATATCTCAAATATGATGATTAGGCAGATGAATACAAATACAAACACAGAAACTTACACAATGTATCTATACTGTATCTACCCGGTAACTAAGACTGCAATGCAAAGACACTATCTTCTAAAATTGGAAGTTAGACCCTACACCACATCATAGTAGTCCCAGTTAAGAAAAACAGGTGGTACATTGTCCTACAGTTTTGCTCAAAATTAATCATCAGGCCACTAAAATGAAGTGTCCCTTTCTACTGTAATTATTGAAAATTCTATGGTTTGAAGTATCTGCAGTATAGCACACTATGCTTTTAGGCTGTACTTTGGCGCAGTGATAATTATCAAAATTACCAAAAGTAGTAAATAAATGAATCACTAATAGGATACAAGTGTGCATTTATATTTGTTCTGAATTTGGGGTGCAGAGGGAGAAAATAAGAGATAAACCTGTTTAAGAAAATTCATCTAGCAAACCAAAACTCCAGAAACCCTGCACCATTCAAATGGCCTGTGGAGTCATTACAGTCTAGGGAACAGAAGAAAATATTGAAAAATCCATTGATACCCAGAAAGTTATTATATTTGAAAGCTAATTTATGAGTGAGAAAATAAACTATCACTGAAATGCCCTCAAAAGCAATCTCTTCTGTGTACCAGGTTTTAAAAAAAGAAAGTATTATTCAATGCTTTTCCCTACTTCACTCCATGAAGGAGGAGGAAAAGAGATAATCAGAGATGTTTCCCAACTTTCATCAGCCTTTTTGATGATGGGGGGATGGAGACAAACTCCTGAAGGGAGAATGCTTAAAAAAAAAAAAAAAACCAAACCAAACCCAAAAACAGAGAAAAAAAATTCAGATAACTACAGATAACTAATATCAGGTATTATAACTTAACTGAATCCAGAAACACACAGTCCTGCTCCTCAAAATAACAGATAATTCAGTGGCCTTTCAGAAGTGATCACCGCTGTCAGATACCATCTCTTTATTTTCTTTTAAAGACATTTTAACAATACACTTAATAGGGTGTGCTACTGGTAGGCCACTGACTATTTCCTTTCATCTATTTCAGATCTCTCTATCACCTGGAATAAGTTTTGCTTTGTGCTCTGGTGGGATCAAGAGCAAAGGAATGATATGCAGTTCAAAAGAAACAATTTTAATATGGTACTCTAGTGTTTCAGCTGTTAACAAAACTGTATCAGGGAAGCCTTCACTACCACTGACATGATGAATCAATAAAATTACCATGGCACTAGTGTAATGCACCTACTTTCATAGTCAAAACAAAAAAAAAAAAACCACCCTGATCACAGTTAATTACTATTCTCTCTAGACATTTTGAGTATAATCCTCAGAAAGAACTCTGGAACCGTATTGCTACATTGAGCAACTGCTTCAAATTTGAGAAAAACTTATCCATTAACACAGAAAAAGTTGTAACTGTAGTTACCTCACCAAGAATAGGAAGGTACCTGCCACATGCATAATTTTAAAGAAACATAGAAAATTCAATCTATAAACTGAATACAGTATGCAATAACTCATTTTCAGCCTTCGTAAACATGCATGATTGTCACCAATTGAAGAACATATTGTAAGTATTCATACCTGAAAGAATTTAATGCATTTTTCTCAATGGGGTTGATCAACTGTTCTGACAAGAAACCAGTTGCTTGCAACACGGAATGTGCACAACAAAATAAATTATCAAAAGGAGCACATTCCTCAGAACTGCCAACAGTACATTCTGTACTTTTTGAGTCAGAATTATGGAGCCAAATAAAATGTAAACTTACTTTTTGTCTGATCCGTTTTTTGTGACACAGATGGGTGGGTAGAACTTATTAGTGGCGGAGTGGTCATCCTCTCTATGCTGTTAAAGGATGCCTCTGTAGACCACAAAGTTGCCTCTTCTGCAGTGGCAAACAGCTGGGTGCTGTCTTCAGAGCCCTCTCCCAAAGCAGCATCATATGTAGGATGAGGACTGAGCACGGTGGCTTGAGTTGCGAGAGCAAATGAATTTTCCTGGAAAGTCTCTCTAAATATATTTGAGTTCTTGTTCATTTGGTCAATGTGGGATAAAGACGTGCTGGTCCAGGGAGAGGGCCGTGTGCTGAGATCCACTGTGGTATCAGTCTTGGAACTGTTTTCAACCGTGTTTGGCAAAAGAACACCAGATGTTTCAATGTCACCATTAACTGTGAGGACCTCACTTCCATTTGAATAAAAGCATGTTTTTTCTAACACCCCTGGAAGAAAGGAAAAAAGACCAAAATTACCATCACCTGGAAGGACAGGTGTTACCAATTTGTTTTGGAAGGTTAATAAATGGATGTTGGACTAGATGCCCTTTTTAAGGTCCCTTCCAACCCGAACTATTCTATGGTTCTAAATATAATGGCACAGATTTAAAAAGTAATACTTATTTCAAAGTTAAAATTAAAGAGGACTAAATTTAAGAATTTCATGTAGCAGCAAAATAGCAGTAGCACATTGAAACAAAAGCTGTAACTACTGTAGAATAAATAAAGAAACATATAAACAGAGAAATAAATAAACACTTCTATGAACTAAAAATGTTTTAATCTTACTCGCAGTAGGTCAGTGAACTCTTACATGTTTATAACTATAGAATGTAATTTTGGGGAGCTCCAGCATGCATTCATTCTATCATACTGTTAACAAGATCGGCAATACTGGTTTTTTTCTCTTTTTAAATTGCATCCTCTCTTGTTTTCATAGTACCACCACCTTCAGACAGCTAATTCTGAAGCTTCAAGGGAATCAATACATTTTTAATGTATTTTACATTCACTAAGATTTAAAATTGAAAGAGATATTGTTTTCTCTATACAGGATTACGTAATTTAACTACAACTGTTAAATATAGGTTCACGAGTTCTTTTTCATTCTTCTCTGATACTGGATTTTAAATATGTATTTGTATCCAAAGTTGTAGGCACTTGCTGTATTTTTTTGTTTGTTCATTTATTATATCATAGACACAGAGTTCATTAGTTGTATGTGTTGAACAGTTGCAAGTAATTACAGTTCACAAATCAAACCAGCTGTGTAACACTAAGGAGATGCATCCCATAGGCATCAGGGAATTCAATCTGAATAGTAAGAGAATCTATTTTTAACCTGCAACTATTACTGAAATATTTAGTTAATTCAAATAATGAAGGAGGCATCTAAAACTTATGTAGGGCATATAATTTAGTTATTTATAATAAAAACTACAAATACTAACTCAAATTCTTTAACCAAATATATTAGGGCCATATTTAATGCTAGAAGAGAAGCACCACTCTGTATCACAATATAAGAAATTTCTGGTAAACAGCAAAAACAATTTTTGCCACTAGCTAGTCGTGTAAAAGAGTTCAAAAATTATAATAAACTTGATTACAAGTAATTAAAAGCAATCCTTCAAAACATAAAATCTCCCAGTTGTTTTTAAATACCCTGGCAATAATTGATAATTTTAATAGCTTTTAATTTTGTCTGCTCCTAACAGTGATATTTAAGCATTGCTCTTACATTGTTTCAAGACAAAAAAGTAAAAACAAGGGAGTGAAGAATATCTGTCCTTTCAACAATGGGTGTTTCCTTAGCCAAAATCCAAAGAAAAGGCCAAAAACACGGTGTCCTCCAGCTGGGCTCCGTATGGAAAGAAGAGAGTTTTCTGTTTATCCTTTCAGCTCCTTTTCTTCTCTCTCACCCTTACTGCTAGCTAGAGGCCCTCAAGCCAAAAAGGTGGTTACACCTGAAGCACATTAACAAGAATTCATCTCTTGTTGTTCCCTACAAACCCTCTGAACTCCAGGCAAATCACACAGATTTTTCTTTCCACTCTGATGTGGAAATCACTTTTTCCCTAGGCTTTCATATTGACTTGATCGTTCTCTAGCTGTTTGGTACAGATGACTCTTGAGTACCCACACACCAACCACCATCGATCCTGAACTTTTGTTTTCAGTTTGGTTATTGCGTTTACAGAAATGGTTGGTTGCATGGTCACCTCTCAGCCAGGCATTGGTCACCCGTCACCACTCCAGGCTCTCTCCCTCACCAAACTCACTGATCTGCCAGCTCCAAGCACCACACTGTGCCCACTTGGGTATCCTGAGCCCCTTCCCACTGCTGTTACTGAATCTCTCTTATCCCTTCATGCGCTCTCTGTCTAGACTAAATCAGTTTCCTGGTCTGAAGTTCAAGGACTGGGCAGGAGGAAATCTTTATTAATCACAGCTAGAAACAACTTACAATGCCAGAAGAACCCACCTCCCTGTTACAACCTGAGGGGCCTTTGTGTTGGAAAGCTTTAGAGGTAAGAAAAGAACTAGCATTTTATTTTTTATTGGGTAACCTTTAACTATAGTTAAAGTAACCTGTAACTTAAGTAACCTGTAACTTGGAACCAGCAAGAAAAACTTGTAAGATTCCTGAAACGTAATGGGGTTCAATGAAACAGTTACCATTAGAGGTTTACCCTATCCTCATTTATCCAGCCTGGGTTCTTTTGGCTCCATTATCACTAACTGTGAGTAAATCTTTGTGTCTAACTTCTGCTGGAAGAACCCAGGGGAACATTATATCTAAACATGTTAAGGTTTCTGTTTTTCCACCAGCAAATGTTCATAATTCATTGCGATTTGGAGGAATTTACTGCATATATTTTACAGAAGCAACTAAAAATCTCCCACCTGCAAATTATTTCAGCAGCAATTTTTTGTGTGTGAGTCCTCTAGTCAGCCAAACTGCAAAAATGAATGTGCTCTGTTTTCACAAATAGGGACCAGTAGTAACATGCTTTGCTAAAATCTAAAGAACTGTGACCAATCACGCTCAGAAATTGTGCTCACTCATATGTAGCTTTACTTGGATGCTTTGACTCCCAATAAAGCTTTGAATCTCTATGATTCAGAAGCCTACTTTGTTTCAAGTTTCAAACTTCAGTAGTTTTTTCTGTAGTTTTCAAAAAGTTAAAATGAGCTTTTTTCCTCCTGTGGCAAGTGTGTATTTTTTTTTCTATGACTCAAGAATAGCTGAGGGGATTTTTTTTTTTTTTTCACATTCTCTCTCCTCCTCCCCAGGCTCCTCTCTTCTCCTCCACTCAACACAAAAATAGAAAAAGCCTGGAAAACATTGGTCCCAAAGAGCTATGAATAATGATTTAAAATTAAAGTAAAAATGATTAGCTATTTATATATCACTCAGTGGAATAGCAGGCAATATGTTACAAGACAGGTAGGCTCTTGAAAGAAGTTTAAAAATCCCTTTTGGTTTAATACAGTGGACCAATAAATACTGTCAAAGAAAATATTGAAATTACCCACTGGATTCTATCCTCACCACACTCAGCCTTATTTCATTCTTTTTTCTGGAACTATAAATAATAACTATGTCTGTCACCATCCATAAGACCATTTACTTCTTCCACTGAGATCCCCAAATGCTTGTTTGCTTCTTCAACCCGTCTTTCCAACAGTAACATTTTTTCTTCTATTTTCACAGTTTTCTAATGATAACAGCTCCCCTTCTCTTCTTGCCAGGTGTAGCACACAATGAACCTCTTCTACAGAAAAGACCTTCCCAATTGTATCAGCTCAGCTGACAATGAATAGTATTAAAATTCTTTTTAACAGTTTTTTGCCCCACAAAAAAACATGAACCTGGGCTCTGATGTGTATGTCCTTGAGAGAGGTAGGTGTAGACCTCTGTTTGGCATTCCCCTCTGGCAACTCTAGACAGCAACTCTGTTTCCACTTAGTATGCCAGGGCTTTGGATCACCTTCCTGGGTCACCTTGTTCTCCCCCTATGTTTTCCTCATATCCTCTTGTCTTCCCAATCCACAGCAGGGAATTCAAGTACTTAATTCCAGGCTATGAAGTCCACTCTCTGAGTTAAGCTCCCATTTGCTTTGATTCTCGTCCGTTTCCTTCTCTAAAAATACTACTGTATATCTTAAATCTTAAGTTAAGCTTACTGAAGATTTTTATAGCATCAAAAGCCCTGAAGGAACTATTTATAATTTTTAGATATCTATTTTTAGATATCTAAGGAAACAGTGTAACGCTTTAAAACAATTGATTATTTTTTAATCCCTTCAGTAATGAGAATTGAATTACTCTTCATCAGTGTCTGCTAACAGCCATACAACACATACAGCATACGCATTTTATTCATGTATACCGCATACCATACCCAACTATTCTTCATATGCGAGTTCATACAGAGCTGTAGACAGTAAAACATAAGTTGGATAGTTAATTAGTGAGAAACAGCTGTAACCATTTTGGATTTGCGTCTCCAGCCACAGCTGGACGTGTCCAGATGACAGAAATACACAGCACGCTGGGTTTAACTGTGCTTGCTACAACAACAAGGAACTGGCACCAAGCGATGCCTTGCCAACGGTTTTACTGATCATTTTCCAGTTCCTGTTCGCTATTGGGGAATTAGTGCTTTATTTAAAGAACTGAAATGGACAATTATGAGATCTAAGAAATAGTCACACTGTTCAAGCTATTAAATTGAGATTTTGGCAGTGTGTACTGTGGGTGATTTCTTGCAGTTCACAGCGGGAAATCTCAAAAAGACCAAGTTTGTTTAAGAAGATAATGAAACAGAGCAAAGCTGCCTACCAAAGCATGTGTAATGGATGAGGTAGTTAGTTACACAGGGAATAAAATACTGATTCACTACTATAACTAGCCAGCATGTACCCACGGAGGTTTCTGCTGCAGGGTCTGTCCCCATGACTCTGAACTCTGAGGAAACGAGCAAGTCACTGATAACATGGAAGTCCCATAACATGCAGCAAACCATTGCACATCAGCTGAGCTGCAGTAATAGACTTTATCCTGCTCCTCCTGTGAAGTAAAGACATTACCTTAAACTGCTTACCAGCCACCCAAGGGGCCAAGAAGGACTTCAGTTGTAAATTTTTTTAATTTTTTTTTTTTTTCAACTTAACAGGTGGCTTATGAAAATGATGGATCGGTTCCCAGATAAAATGGAACTCAAGGTAGATTTTGTGGAAGACATCTTTTGAAGAAGCTGCAGAACAAAACTGGGCTTCTAAGGTCCTGTGCAGAAAGGAGAGATTTCTGTGCAAAAAGGAGACATTTTCCCTTTCATTAACTTCTGGTTTTCAGGCAACAAGGTCTCAGCAAAAACGTCAGCATCGTACTAAAGGCCTGGAGGGGACAACAGCAGCTACCTTTTGCATTAACAATGGTT